AATGATTAAACTCAATTATCTCAAAATAAAATTTATGTAAAAAAGGGCTGTTTTAATAGATAACACCCCATATATATAAAAGTTAAATAAAAAAATAAATGTCACGATAGATGTAAAAATTGGCAGATGCAGAAGTTTAGGGACTTGATTTGACAATATAAACCCTACTAAAATCCATATATACTATTATAAACTCATCCTAAATCCTAACCCAACTTTAAAAAATTGGCTAAAAAAAAAAAATCGCAAAAAAAAAAATTTTAAATTTCATTTTGAAATTTTGAAATAGGTTTGAACTTCAGCATCATCAAAAGTTGCAACAATAAATAAAATAATTTGCAATTTTGTTCATGCTTACGAGTAAAAGAGATGTTGATATTCCAAAGGTTCCAATTATATTAACAGACCTTCGTACAGTTAAAACACGAAATTTCAATTGATGAATCGCATAATCGCAGATATAACCGACTGTAAATCCCATTATGATGTACAAAAAATAAGGTAAAGCTAAAAATTTGAAATTTATAAAATTTATAAAGTGAATATATAGAATATTACAGTATTAAAAATATTAGATTTCATACCAGTGTAATATCCAATTAAATTAATGTCTACACGAAAATATTCATAATAAAATATTGGCAGCCAATTAAGCAGAATATAATAACCCCAAGAATTAAAAAATTGACCAAGTAAAATTGCCCACACTTCACGACGAGAAAATATCAATTTCCAAGGAATTTTATCTATATAATGCGACCTTGATGATATTTGATTCTTTGGTAATAACGTATCGTTTTCGTTTTGAATACCATGATCATCTTCAGTAATCGTAATATATTCCCTGGATCCTGATTGATAGTGTCCAAAATTATCATGAGAATAAGAACTTGACTTGCTTTCCAAAATCCAATCTAATTCTTCTTTGCTAATTCCTGGATAATCTCTAGGAGCACTTTTTCCATAAAAATGCCAAATAACGGACCAAATAAATCCAACAATTGCAAATACCCAAAAAATACTTTCCCAGCCAAGCTGACTAGAACCCAATATATTTGAAATTGGCATAGCGACTGCCATACCAATAAAATTAGAAACAAATATTATTGAAATAGCTCTACTTCGTTCTTCAGGTGGAAACCATTTTGTGATTAAGGATTGAATACATGGAAAAGTTGCACCTTCACCAGCTCCTAAACAAATCCTGCATAGTATAAGGCAATATATGTTTATTCTGGCAGAAATTGGGGTAAGTAAAGTAAAAAGTGTCCAAATTACGGCAGCTGGAAAGAAATAACCAAATATAAATATTTTTTTTAAACAGTATAACATTTAGAATGTAACTCACCTATGCCTAATACTATCCTGCCACCGAATTTATCAGTAAGCGCACCTCCTATAATTTGAGTCGTAAAATATCCAAAATAAAATGATGACGATACTAATCCTTGTGTAGTATGATTCCAATTGAATTCCTTAGCCATATAAACTATGGCAATTGCCATATTTGAACGATCTTTTATAAAAGAAATAAATAATAGTTAATAAATAAATTTAACAAAATTTTAAAGACAAAGATTTAACTTTGGAGTATACCAGCATAACTGATGATAATAGCGAAAATACAAAGAATGATAGTTATAATTCGCTTTGGGATATAACCAGCCCACCAGTTACTAAAATTTTCAAATAAATTAGAAGATAAGTAAAATATATGATACTTTGGAAATAATAACTTACCTAAGTATTAATGTCATAATGATTCTAGGGGAAAAAAATCCTTTTCACATCTTTTCCCTCCTCTTTATTCAATTTAATTGGTCAATTTTGCATATATGTGCATAAAATATTGGGGTGTGTACCATCGGTCTAATTACAAACATAGTGTAGGTCATATGGGGTGCGGACAATAGAAACAGCCCATTTTTACATTTTTTTTGAAAAATGAGTTTTTATCAGATTCATATAAATTTTGACATGATTGACATTTTTCAATTATAAATGAAAGT